TTAAGGATCATGTTAGTCAATATAATATCCGTTCACGATCAGGACTTTAGTCATCTTTTCACATGGCCATATACAAATTGTCATTCATTTTACTTATTTGCCATCACTAATTAGTATTGCCCATCGCCGGCAACAAAGCAGCACTGGCTGACCCATGTACATATAGCCAATTAGATCCTTTTATATAGTTTTTGTTGCACATGGCTTTATCATCTGGTCATTCCATATCACCGCTATCATTAATAAATACGTTTATCATTTGGCCATCACCAGTCATCTTTATTAATACACTTATCATCTGGCCATCACCGGTCATCATTATTCAATACACTGACCGTTTCACTTAGTTGTTCAAATCTTATTTTGTATTGTCTATTTCGGTGGATACACTGCTCAGCCATTTCACATGATTTTTCATATTTCAACGGTTGATCCGTAGGCTACCATTAAATATCACCTACCGGCGACAGAGCCGCACTGGCCGGTCTGTATAGGCACACATATTTCTTTTCATATCACAAGGGTCAATCTATAGATATCCACATGTCATGTATCAAATAATTTTCTCAATATAAAAATTCGAACATTTCATAATACCAATATATATAATTTAATAAACTATATCAATATTTGTCTTAGAATGAAGTTATCATTAAATTGAGTAGTCTGAAAGTGAAATAAGTTTATTTCGATAAATACAACTTATTTTATTTGGCAAAACCTAATTTTAATGATAAATGAAATTTAATGAATTATTTTATTCAATTTTTTTTCTTACTTTTAATTAAATAAAAGATTGGTAGAGCACTAGCATGTCAAGGGACACATGAATAGGTGGGGACTCTAATTGAGTTAATGCTCAACTGGTATAATGACTAAAGATTATTAAAGTGATAGTGTGCAGTGCATGAAGAAGAGGGGGAACACCAATGTCAAACCTTCATTATCATTCATCAACTTGGGATAAAGATGAAGTTTTTCCTCTTTCAATTGTCTGTATCAATGGTTTGTGCATGACCCTACTCTTGAACTATTTAATTTGTTGATCAAACCATTTGGTGGAGCTATAAGTGGCAGGTCGACACGCGAGGTTCGAAATAAAGTAATGAAAATGACCGGGATAAAAGAAAGAAAAATATTCAGATATCTGGTATGGTTAATTGATTCTAGTAAAGAACGAAATTAATAATCTGATTTCTGATACAGAAGATCGTCTATAAGACACAACCGTAGAACACACTCTCGTCATATTACAAATCGAACTCCAGAAGGCAGAGATGCTGATAACATTTTATAAAACTAGAGACAAAGATAGAGAATAGAGAGAATGTATTCCTTAGTACCATCCCCCTATATTAATTCAGATCGTTCTGAGCCTAAGTGGAAGACTCGCATCTTTTGGGATCCTATGTGCCAAAATTACATGCTTCGTAATTAGGCTTGGGTAGATTATAATAATTTACTTCCAATCCAAAAATAATTAGGTTCAGATTATCCATAAATATGTTGATTATGTGTGGTCATGTTACATATATTAATTGCATTTTAATATGTTTTCGTATTATAACCATTGAATTGTAAATATATTTTAAAAGTTATTCTTATTATAACCATTGAATTTTAAATATATTTTAAAAGTTAATAACTTTTGTATTTTTTATCAGTTTTACATATATAATATATCGAATTAATTATCTTTTGATGAGCTTCGATTTAACATCCATATTGTATGTATAAAAATAAATTATATATCTTTATAAAAATAATAAAAAAACTTTTTTAATACTAATTAAAAAAATAAAATTATTTAACAATTAATATATTTATATTTCAAGTAGTTATATGATATAAGTTATAAAAACTACTATATATAACACATGTAAGTCGCACAAGTAACAAGTGTCATTCTAAAATATATAATAATATTTTTTTTTCTTTAATTTTAAAATTTAAGAATAATTTTTTAAGAAGCACCCGTGTAACACACGGGTGTTGTACTAGCTTTCATTAAAACTGAAACTACTATTTTTACAAAAACTTTTAATAGCATAATCGTAATAATACAATTACATCGATGGTAAAATAGTCATTCAAATATATTATTTTATAAAAAAATTAATTAATGGTGGGTGTTTGGTAATTCATAACAGTACCGATGTGTCTCATGTAAGAGAGAGATGCATCTATCTCCATATTTATTTTGTAAATTTGTCGGTGATCTGAAATGGGCCGAGTCTAACCTAACGCCTTCCACTAAAACACGCATGCCCTTATCTGCTGCTAATCAAAAGCCAATCCACGCTCCTCCATTTTTGTCCATCTCTCTCTCTGATCTCAGTTCGGGACTCGTTAGCAGGACACTTTACAAGACCTTTTAATCAATTTTCCTTCTCTCGGTGAGTTCCCTGCTAAATTAAATGTGATATTTCGAAATCGTACAAGTGTTCTTTTGCCAGTGTGAATCCATTCATTGCCTATGGCTATTGAACAGATAAAAGTTGAAAAGTTTGTATAGCTTCCTTCCGCCCCATTTCAATTTAATGTTTAGATACAAGTGTTGCCTTTGTTCTCCCTTTTTGCCTGGTTTAAAACTTACACATGTGATCGATTTCTTTTTGGTTTCTTGTCTGGTTTGCAAATGCTACATTATATGACATTTTAATCACATATGTATTATTTTGAAATCTGATATTTGAGTATGAAGCTATGGATATTTGTTGGAAGAGTATTAATCAATCTAATTATATACTAAAATTTTAAATTATTCATCCTTGCTGCAATTAAAAGTGCTTGCAATTTGATCTTATGAAATTCATTTTGTGTTGTAGCTTATCTCGTAAAATGGCATCGATGCAAACAAGCCTGGCGTCATCTTTCTGCAGCAACAGAAATCAATGCCTCTCAACTTCTTTCCTTCATGGGGTTGAGATGATCAACTGCCACGTTGCTAGCATGAGAAAGAAGGAGATTTCTCCTGCTTTTTCCTTGCGGCCCAAGGCTACGTTAACATTTGATCCCTCGACTGCCAATCAAGACAAGGTTATGCAGAGCAAGCACACAGCGGATCCAAATGCTCCTAATTTTCTCCCCCTTCCATCCTTTGAGGAATGCTTCCCCAAGAGCTCCAAACAATACATGTGGGTTAATTTTCTTTTTTTCTTTTTAGTCTGTTGAGATTTTTAATTTCTATTGGTATGATAGAATTGCTCTAGGATATTGAGACTGTATATGTCGGGGGTTGCTTTGGATTGAACTGAAAACCATAGCTATGTGCAACCTTTGTAAAACTTTTGTTTGTTTGCGAGCTGTCTAATTTATGCAAGTTTGATTTCAGGGAAGTGATGCATGAGCAATCTGGTCATGTTCTGCGAGTTCCGTTTAGGCGCATCCACCTGTCTGGAGACGAACCACATTTTGACACCTATGACACTAGTGGTCCACAAAACATCAGCCCACAAATTGGTAAGTTTTCTCCTCAAATCTCCATTTTTTTTTAATTTCAGTTCTTTCTTCATGTTAATTAGTCCATGACATTCGACAGGTCCCAATCAGGCAACCTCAATGCTTGAACTTTCCAAAATCTAAACTAAATCAATAATGAATTTTTCATCATCCTTCCGTACATTCCAACAATTAACAAAGTTACAATTTCCCAAACAGGACTCCCCAAATTGCGCAAGGACTGGATTGAAAAAAGAGAAAAAAAATCGTGCGGGCCAAGGTACACTCAAATGTTCTACGCCAAGCAAGGCATAATAACTGAGGAAATGGCCTTCTGCGCGGCCCGCGAAAAGCTCGACCCGGAATTCATCCGGGCCGAAGTCGCCCGTGGCCGCGCAATCATCCCTTCCAACAAAAACCACCCGGAACTCGAGCCCATGATCATCGGCCGCAACTTCCTGGTCAAAGTCAATGCCAACATCGGCAACTCGGCCGTCGCCAGCTCAATCGAGAACGAAGTCCACAAGCTCCAATGGGCCACCATGTGGGGAGCGGACACCATAATGGACCTCTCGACCGGCCGCCACATCCACGAGACCCGGGAATGGATCCTCCGCAACTCCCCCGTGCCAGTCGGGACGGTCCCCATCTACCAGGCTCTTGAGAAAGTCGACGGCGTGGCCGAGAATCTGACGTGGCAAGTCTTTAAAGACACTCTAATCGAGCAGGCCGAGCAGGGCGTCGATTATTTCACGATACACGCCGGTGTACTGCTCCGTTACATCCCGTTGACCGCGAAAAGGATGACCGGGATCGTTTCTCGTGGGGGCTCGATTCATGCTAAGTGGTGTTTGGCCTATCACAAGGAGAATTTTGCGTACGAGCATTGGGACGAGATACTCGATATCTGCAATAAGTATGACGTGTCGCTGTCGATAGGGGACGGGTTGAGGCCTGGCTCGATTTACGACGCGAACGATACTGCTCAGTTCGCAGAACTGTTGACTCAGGGAGAGTTGACTCGTCGGGCTTGGGAGAAGGATGTGCAGGTAATGAACGAAGGCCCGGGACATATTCCGCTCCACAAGATCCCGGAAAACATGCAGAAGCAACTCGATTGGTGTGCGGAGGCTCCTTTCTACACTCTCGGCCCACTCACTACTGATATTGCCCCTGGCTATGACCATATCACCTCTGCCATTGGGGCCGCGACAATTGGCGCTCTCGGGACAGCTCTCCTATGCTATGTGACCCCTAAGGAGCATTTGGGCCTTCCAAACCGAGATGACGTCAAGGCTGGTGTCATTTCCTACCGAATCGCGGCCCATGCTGCGGACCTTGCCAAGGCCCATCCACTGGCCCAAGCCCGTGACGATGCCCTTAGCCGGGCCCGATTTGAGTTTCGTTGGGCTGACCAGTTTGCGCTCTCCCTTGACCCGTCGACTGCAATGGCTTTTCATGACGAGACGCTTCCGGCTGAGGGGGCGAAGGTGGCGCATTTCTGTTCCATGTGTGGGCCCAAGTTCTGCTCGATGAGGATTACGGAGGACGTGAGGCGGTATGCGGAGGAGCACGGTTATGGGGTGGATGTGGAGGAAGCTTTGAAGGGAGGTATGGAGGCTATGAGTGCTGAGTTTTTGGCTGCGAAGAAGACGGTTAGTGGGGAGCAGCATGGGGAGGTGGGTGGGGAGATCTACTTGCCCGAGGAGTACGTGAAGTCCGCGAGGAGTTAGGAAAGGTGAGTGTGAAATGTTGAATTTGTTAAATTAAATTAATGACTGTGGAAGATTGATGTGTTAGATTTAAGAGTTACTTGGTGCATGCATGTGTATGAGTTTTTTTAGTAGGTTTGATAAATTGTCTGGGAAGTCTGTCTGAGGACTGTTTTCATATCTACAAAACTACATTTTTTTCTTTGAACGAATAATCTTACTTTTTATTTTGTCTTAACACTTCCACGGCGTGTTATGGTAACTCTATGTTTTCATGTCCGCATTTCATGATGACGTCCTCCGTTTGTCTGGGTGTTACAAAATATTGTACATGATAAAAGATGAGGCTATTTTTATGTCTACATATAGAAGTTTGTCACGTTAAGTGAAGGTTGTGTGAGAATGTTAACACGTAAACATCCGCCAAGGGTGATTTTTACGTCAAAGAGGCACTTTTTGTTTCTGCTTCTTTATATTACCTTGGAGGTCGTTTTGTAATTTTTCCTTGAAATACATTAGCTGCAAATGTTACAGAAATTAATTTTTCTCCTTTTTTCTCCTTTTGTTTTGGTAGTACCTTGGTGGTAGGTAGTTTAATAATTATCTCCAAATGGATAAAATACATTGGGACACGAAGCATTTGATATGGCATTTGAAGCATGATTAACCTAGGGATTTCTTCTTTTTTATTTGAGGTCCCATCATGTCTTTCGCATCCTTTCAAGTAACCTGCTCTTATGTGTTTATATCATTTATGGCAGGCCCCAAGCTCCACTATACCATCTACCAATCTCGAGGTGTTCCACAGTTTGCCAAAGTCGAGATGCACTATCTAGGTAACTAAAATAAGCATCCTTCAAGTTTGTTGAGCACCTCGTGTGAAACACGATATTTTCATTTGCTTGTTGTTATTAAAACAAAAACTTAAACTTTTATTTGGATGGTTTCTGTATTAGTCGATTTTCCTATCTACTCGTTTATTGACGAAAAAATGCACCGGGGGTGTCTGTAATCTGCTCGAGTGCTGGCCCACTGGGCCAATACTCGAGCAATTTCAGGCTGAGAAAGTCCCTTTGAACCTGAACAGGATAATGCCTGCGTAGGGAGTGTGCTCTCTTTCTTTTTTGTTGTGTGCTTGCACAGGGCAGGGCTGAAGATTGATTTGTCTGGGCTTGGCAGCTTCATATGCACACGTAAAAAATTAATTCTAGCTTGTTAAAGTATTTTTTCATGTGTGTCTGAGTTTCGGAGTTTTAGTATATTGGTATATCTAACTCAGAATTAAAACAAACGGGTACGTGGAATGAGTTGCATTATGGAGGCATGCAAGTGAGAGAAATAGTTGAAAAGGTTGTTCCAGTATAGTTATCAGTAGATTTTCATGCACAAAATTAAGGTGATGTCTTGGAAGAAAAGATGAGATGTACACAGTGAAAAAAATGTGCTCTGGAAAGGAGAGACCACATAACTGATTGTGCTGAGTTTATATAAATCGGCCAGTTGATCCCAAGCAAAATTGCAGGATTTGGCACTTTAGTCTTTACCTGCCTAGCAACATTGATTAGAAATCTGGGTTGGACTAGCTGGTTCGACAGGTCATCGGTCTAGTCTTTTTTTTTTTTTTTTTTTTTTTTTTTTTTTGGTACATAGATGGAGGCCAGAGGCCCGAGATTTCTAAACTAGAACGCGACGTGGGTAGGCCACCCCACGGACATCATGGTCTATCCATGCTTCCATTCCTGGAGGAGCCTAGCATGGAAGAAGCCGCTAGTTCCGCCATATGATCTGCTGCAAAGTTCGCTTCCCTGTGCACGTGCTGAATCCGAATATCCCAATCTCTTTCCACCAAACTCTTAATGCCCTTGACCATTGACACGTTGGCTCCAAAGTTAACTTCTGGCCCAAAGATCATTTTCGGCACACATTGATTGTCGACTTCCGCTACTACCTTTCGAAACCCCAAATCCCATGCCATCTGTAGGCCCTGAAACAATCCCCATAATTCGGCCCCAATGATGGTGCAAATTCCAATATTCATGAAAAAACCCTCGATCCATCGGTCTAGTCTGAACTCACCCAAAGCCGTTCTGGCCAGTCAAACCTGTCAAAACTTGGTAAAAATCCTGGAAAATTGGTTTCTGTTTTAAATTTATTAATTTTCAGTTCAGCTGGCGGTTGAACCGCTCCAATAGATTGAACTGTGAACTGAGGGAGGGCCCCTTTTATGCCCCGGTCCTGTTTTTTAATCATCACCTAGAAAATTTATCAACTTCGTGAACTAATATTTGGATCTAGCATAAAAGGTATAGTAATTAAATTTTCCCGCACATTTAAGGCAATTTTCTTGCTTTTTGTGGCTTTGTTTTTTTCTCGTTTATTCCCAATTTATATTTTTAGTTTCTTGGGCAAAATGGATATGTGTACTCCAGCTCAAACAGAGGAAATATTGATAGGGTTTGTGATGCAACATGTAGAAAAAGTTCGTGTATCTGTTGGTAGGAAGTTGTGTGCTCAAGGCGAAAGCTCGAAAAAAAGGACAAGTTCGTTTTCAAATTATAACTCTACGTAAATATTAATTTATAATTTATCGCGAAGACACAATAGAAGCACTTCAACTTGTTGATCAGTTATAGGCAGATTATGTATTTCTGTGTGAATCTGACGCTAAGGTGGTGCTGGTCCTATATAATAATATAATGAAGTGAGGATATTTGACTAATATTGAAATACTCAAGTTGGGATAGGTTAAGAAATTATTTACATTAATGGTTGTACTTTGTTTGGTTATGCAAATAATAATAGAGAATATTGATAATTGGTGTGCTAATTGAAAATTTATGAGATAAATAATGAAAAATTATAGAATCTAAGAATGTATTGCTATTTGAGAATATCCTTCTTCGTAAAGACGATGAATAAACAGCCTAAAGGAAAACAATTGCACAAGATGATGGGTACTTGTGCTACTGAAGAAGAGCTAAGGTGGTCAAAGGACAAAAGTACATAAAACTTGTGGTATTGATTTTCTAACATACATATTAAAAAAATGAATCGGGAACAAAGTAGGTTTACGAGTTACCGAACAATGAACATTGGATTGCACTAAATGGGTTTCTTAGATATTTGAAGTATACCATAAATTAGGAAGTATGGTATACAGTATACTCATTTGTGTTAGATGGATGTAGGGATGGCAATGGGCCAGGGGGCCGGGTAGTGACATGCCTGGATTTGGCCCGTGACCCTACACGCGCGGCCCGACCTAGCCTGTGCCCCGCTATGGGTCCACCAAGACGACCCCGAGACCTCGCCCACGTAGGGCAGACCGACTCGCCATGACTCGTACATTTTTTTTTTGTTTTTGTTTTTTTTTTGTAACACAGCCACACATGTAAGTACCAAATTTAACAAAAAACACGACAGATGTAAATTTCAAATCTCATACAAAAAGGATTTTATTTTTTTCTTTTAACAAATGGATATTACAATAATTAAGCTAATCAAACCTCAAAACCCTAACTAATTATCAACGCAATAGTTGCTTCTGTTGTCCAAGGTGACCCACCATGCAACCGCTATCTCCCAACTGTGGCCCGCATCCCTCTACCAGTCGTGGCTCGCAGCCGTCGCCTTCTAACCACAGTTTGAGACATATTTCAGACGGTGAAAACCCCAATCCCTAGATCTGTGTGACTGAAAAGATAAATGATGAAAGGAGAAGAAAAAGGAAAATTAAAGAAGAAAACCTGCATTTATGGAAGAAATTATGGAAGGAGATTTAAAAGAATGAAAAAGAGAAGAAAAATATTAGAAAATTGATAGGTCGAAAAATGTGCGTATTTTATATATTTAATAGTGTATTTTTATATGATTAATTTATTCGCACTTTATATATTTTTCGACTTATTTATTATTTGGATGGATTTATTTGCATGAATTATTTTATATTTATTTTCAGCGTATTAGCGCATTTTGTGGACGTGAAGCAGTTGAGGAGAGTTCACGTGAGCGATAATCAAGTACATGAAAATTTGAGCCCAATGCCGAAGTTGATTAAAAGAAGCCCAAGAGGACATTAATTATTAAGTCCTTTCATTATTAATGGTTGTTGGGCTAATTTATGCTTAATTGCCCAAAGATGATGAAAGTGACATGTTGGGCTTGAATTAAATGGAATTGGCAAAGAGGAGCTTGATTTTGGGCAGCCACGGAGGAGTTATTTCAGGAGAAATTTACTCCACATACGGTGCCAACAAATTTTTATTGTACAATTAAGAAGTTAGATTACTTATTTGTAAAAAGGCGCAGACAATTAAAATAGACACATAGGTGGCAGTTTTAATATGATATATTTTAGTGAAATAAAAATTTATGGCAGTTGCGTGTTTCAAGGGGATGTGTATATCTTAATTAGCTTTAATCATTCCTTTCATTGACTTTCATTTCTTTATTAATTCATACTTGAACAACTGTAAACCAAAATTCTCTAAACCCTAAATTTGAATTTTTGTTGTTCAACCATTCAATGCCGAAGAGAAGGGAAACGGAGCATATGTGGGAAAAGCTAAACGATTGGTCAAGATCTCGTACAAGATTGGTTTTGTGGAGAAGGCGAAGAATAAGAAGAAGAAGAGGCTGAGCGAGGTCAAAACGCCCGAGGCTGTGAAGAAGAGGAAAATCATGACAGAGGAGGAGGAGAAGGTGGGCCCCACGGCAAGGGCCGACTGGACTCCATCGGCGAAGAAAGGTACAAAAGAAGAAGTGAAAGAGGACGACTAGGGATGAGAGAGCAATGAACGGATTGTATATAACACGATTATGTTATGTATATGTGCACAAATGATATACTTACATAATATGGGGCTTGTTTTCAAGATTGTATATGTGATGTTTATATATTGTATATGTTATATATATAGGTAGTATATTTTAGTATATGTTTTCGTAGACATAATCACGTATATGTATATGTATATATATATGATTATGTGGAGTATATAATCACTGTTTGGTCTTTTTTCTCCTAACATATATACCAGATTAAGATTAAGTTACGGGAATGAGAGAGAAAGAGAGAGAGAGAGAGAGGAGATGAGAGAGAGAAGATATGAGAGAGAGAGCATTTTTAGGGATGATATTTTGTTGTTAATGTAAATCCATTCAATTATGGTATTTTATTATTATGGTGCAACCTTTCAGTTACGGGATTTAGTAGGAAATTATATATCAGTGTTTTACTATCTAGCAACAACCTAATTATTTTTCTTTAATTTTGTACATGCACAAATAATTTTAAAATTATGTAAACTTGGAAAATTTTATGTTCAATCACGGTACATATGCAAATGACCCTTATTTCAGAGAGGATTTAATTGGCTAGTATTGGACTTGAGTAGGACTCATTTTGGGAAGCAACAGCACTCACGCAATTTCAGATTGGAGGAGATTTTAATTGGCGAGGGATTTAATTGAGGAAAAAAAAAGCAGCGGACGAAAATTATTTTACGAGAGGCGAACAGAAAAAAAGAACTTGTACAGAAGAGAGAAGATCGCGTAGCAAGATCACCTACGCGGAGGGAAGCCGCCATCGCACACGAGGGAGATAACTAATCTCTCTCTTTTATCTATCTATTATCTATTTTTATTAGTATGCTAGGATAGGATTTTTATCCAGTTTTAGGGGATGTTGAACCCTAACTTTGATTTGTCTATGAACTGAAGGGTCTTTATTTATCGTTGATTAATGGAGACGCCGTATTTATTTTTGGTGATGAGTTGATTCATGCTATCTGTGTATCATGTTTATGAATTATGGGTGTTTGATTTAGTTTGGCCAGCTACGTTGAATATTCATAGTTTAACTGCTAGACTCGAGACTTTAATCCGTAATTGTTATTGTTCTCGTTTCGTTAGTAGTAAACTAGAGGTCGTGCATCTCTAGGGTAGCGTGAACATAAGTTAAATGGACCGAGCTTTTGCATCCGTTGCTTAGACTGATATATTTTTCTAGGAATTAATGCTGCTAGTGAATTAAATCTAGAGAGCTTATTCTAGGTTGTCTGCTAGTTAGGTTTAGTCGAAGAGCCTATTTCGGTTAAATATTCGGTAAGGGGAAATTCGGTTAACAGAGTTTATTGTTAGCTAGGGTTGGTAATTCATCGGCAATTTAAAGAAGGCGTCGAAATTAATTAACTGTAGATTTAGATTGGGTGATAACTGAACCAAAAACTGGAATTTCTCTTATTTTATTTTATTTTATTTCGTAATTTTTATTTTTATATAATCAATCCCCCCTCTTTAGTGCTTTCTTAGTTTTAATTCGATTAATACGAGAATAGTCACAATTTAATTTCTGCTCCTCGTGGGATCGACCCTTACTCGCCGCTACTACTAGTTAGTAGAGGTTAGTTAAGGAAAAATTTATAAATTTAAATTTGTCGCGTCGCGACGCGCGGTCAAAAATAGAGAAAGTGACGCCTAATGGAAGAAAGTGGTGAGGAAGAAAGGAAAAGTGAGAGATGGTAATGGTGTGGTAGGTAGGAGAATTTAATGTGCCTTACTTAACCCAGCTTTGACTACATTATTGACTAGGCCAGGTCGGACCGGGGTGGGCCGACATCTATAACCCAC